TCCCAACCCACATTTCTTAAGCTTCTTAAGTGTTTGGTTAGGGAAAAGCCACCAAGAAAATGTTAGTATCAAGAGCAAGAAGAGGCAAAGTAGTGACAAGAAGGCAACAAGAAGCCCTGATAGTAGTAAAAACCCCATTGGATCTCTCTCTTGTGTGTCTTATAATTTGGTTGTGCAATTATGGAGTGCATATATGTTGGGTATTTATAACAAGAAGGTATATATGGAATGGGAAAGTGTGAGCCTTTTGACTGTGAAATGAAACTTTTTAATCCCAGGTTGACCCTTGGCGTTGTTTGAATATTTTCCCATTTGGGTCCAACTTTCCTTTTGTTTGTGTTTCAAATGTTATGGTCGGTTTTTGATTTTGGTTTGGAATTCGTAATTTTGCATAGAACTTAATTTTGTTTGGAAGTGGCGAATTGTGGGCGAGAGGAAAATGTTTGTTCAGTCAACGCGATATGCAAGGGTCCACCGTCAACGTGTTTGTTTGCCTTTAAATGGAACTAAACGTACTACAACGTGCTGCATATTGTGAATCCGCGGTTAAGAACACGTCATCTCCGACCAGAGCTTCTTATGATATTTAGTTCTGTACTTACGTACCATGTATTTCTACACCATCGATTAAGTAGAAAAAAATTGCACTTTTTTAAAATTAAAAAAAAAAAAAAAGTGAAAACTGATTCGTATGTTTTTTATCTAGTGGAGTAGTTCACTGACTTGGTTTACTGCAGGTTCTTGTACTAAAAAAAAAGGTAGACAATAAATCTATTTTAAAATTTATACAAAAGTGAATTAAGAATTTAAGTTATTTTATTAAAATTAAAAAAATCTTAAAACAAATGGCATTGAGAGATCCGTAAAATGTGCATTAAGCACCCAAAATAAATTTATTATTCAGATACGAACTACTAAAGATATCACACTTTATTTTATTTATAATTGCCTATAATTTTTTTTATATAAATTTATGAAAGTGAACAAATAAATATCAATTAAATGATTTGTAAGGGGCTATTAAGTATGGTGAATGCACATTGTAGGATCTCAACAAATCCAATTTTAGAACACAAAGCACCACCTCTCCTTTCCTTAAAGCAATCCACTAACTTACTGGCCACAAAAATACAACCCACAATCTTTCCGAGGCAGTGGCAGCACTAACTTTATGGAAATAATTTGTATTTTTTGTCTCCCACTTCACTCCACATTTTTGTAGCCATTTACTTACTTCCAACCTCCTAAAATTCTCAAGAATCTTTGATCTTGTCTCCCTTATATTATCCCAAACATGCACCCTCTCTCTCCAATCCTGCCATAATTTGATTTACCTCATTCTCGAAAGCCTAAAACTGTATTAATTTTAATCTGCCCCACTCTCACACCTTACCTTAATTTCTACCCTACACCCAATTCTTCTTCAATGTCTTCAAATTTTTAATTGGGATTAATTTAATACTATAGTAAATGTGAATCTTAGTAAAAACAAAGTGCAAAATTACAGTCCATTATGAAAATCTATGATAGTAAATTATCACATATATGCAATTTACTATACAAGTGCTCATATATTATCAAATCATCTTTTTTATTACTTTATCATAACCGTTACTCCTTACCAACTTTATTCTTCAAAGCTTTTATATCCCTTAAGAGTTGAAATCTATGTGAAGGAAAGTATTCCCTCTTCTCCGTATAGCTAATTAAGTTTCAAAGTTAGCTTTTGTTGACAGGATATTTTATGATTTAGGCAAAGGTAATAATACTTGCATGAAAATAGTTATATATAACTATAAGCCTCGTGGCCTTAGCGCATGATTGTGTTTCTTCAAGTATACAATTACAACCATAACTGTTGAGTAAACGAAGAAAGAGTATAAGATGCAAACACTACTCGCATTCGAGTTTACATACAGATGTATAAAGAATATGAGAATTTAAACGTTTTAACTGGTTGATTCTAGTCATGGACCCACTCAATCATATACAGGCCCATAAAGTTAACATTCATATTTTTCGTTGATATTTCTAAATGTTTAAGGAATACATATCTATAAACTAATAGTTATTAAGAATGATCATATAAATGTCATCATTATATTTTAATAAATTAAATTAAATTAAATTAAAAATAAATATAATTATAATTTAATTACAATCTATAAAATATTTCAATCATTTAATTTTATCTCTTTTATACGTCTTTAAATCCATTATATATCATAGTATCTATTTTTTATGTATATACACAATTTTGTTAGTAGATGAAACAGAAAGAGAGGGGTGAATGGAAAGTGCAAAAGGATACATTCAAAGAGATTGATGAATTTAAAAACATGTTAGGCAAGTTGAGAAGACGAGAAAGAGAAACTCGTGTTAGTTTGCTTGGAAAAGGGTGAAAAAAATAAATTCAATAAGATTATATATATATACACGAGAAAGGATTCATTTATTTAAAAAGTAAGTTTACTTAAATTTACTTCATTTAATAATTCATATTTTACATCAAATTAATAAAAAAGAATTAATTTATAAATCAAGTCTGCAAAAAATAAAAATTATTTGATACTTTATTTGATTAATTCAAATTAACGTGTAAAATATTTTTATGATTATCTTTCAATTTAAATTAATAAAACAAAGTATTAAATAGTTTTCAAATTTTTAAAATACTGAAAATAAAGAATTATTTTTAAAAGAGAAGCTCTTAAAAACACTTTTAAGTTTATATCCAAACAAACTCTTATTTCACTCAATAATTCATATTTTACATCAAATTTTAACAATCCAACTATTAGATTAAAACTTTTTACTACATAATCAAGTTTATAATTTTTTAAGAAATTTGAATACTATTTGATTTAATGATTAAATCACTAGAATTTGATGCAGAATGTGAGTTATTGAGTGAAGTAACTTTGCCAAGACTTACTCATTAAATAAGTTTATCAAGATTTACTCATTAATTTAAATTGACAAATAATATATATTAAAAATATTTTATACATTGATTTGAATCTATATAACGAAGTATCATATGATTTTTAATTTATTTAAAATTTTGTAAACTTAATCTTTATATTAAGAACTATTGATTTACCGATTAAATCGTTATAATTTGATGTAGAACATAGGTTATTGACTAAAGTAAATTTAAGACTTAATCATGGAATAAGTGGATCTCTCTTCACACATATGCATATACATATACATATACATATACACACATACATATGTGTGACTGAAGAGTAATCCACTTATTCTAAAGATAAGTCTTGGTAGACTTATTCTATTTAATAACTTTTATTTTACATCAGATTTCAACAATTCAACCATTAAATTAAAATTTTTTAATACATAGATTAAGTCTACAAAATTTTAAAACATTTGAAAATTATTTAATATTCTTTTTCATTAATTCAAATCAAAATATAATCATAAAAATATTTTATACATTAATAAAGTATTATAAGGTTTTCAAATTTAAAAAAATATATAAATTTGATCTATACATTAAAAAAAATTAATATAACGTTAGAAGTGTGTTTGGAAATAATTGACTCAACTAGGATTGAAAAACAAGTTACACCCACAAGTTTTTGTTTTTTTCCTTTTGCATTGAAATGCATGTTTTGAAATTGATATCATTGTAATTTGATGTATAAAATAAGTTATTAAACGTAGTAAGTCTACTAAGAATTATATTTAGAGTAAATGGATCCTTCCATACACACAACGATCCATTTACTCCAAAAGTAAATTTACTTAAACTTATTCTACTTAATAATTTATGTTTTACATCAAATTTCAACAATTTAACCATTAAATTAAAAGTTCTTAATGTATAGATCAAATTTGGTAAATTTTAAAAAATTAAAAATTATTTGATATTCCATTTTATTAATTGAAATTGACAAATAATCATAAAAGTATTTTATACGTTGATTTAAAATAATTAGACGAAATGTCAAATAGTTTTCAAATTTTTTAAAACTTTGCAAATTTTATATAAACATTAAAAAATTTAAATTAATGGTTGGATTGTTAAAATTTATTGTAAAGCATGACTTATTTTTTTTGGTAAAAATAGAAAAGATTACAAAAATAGTCTTAATGAGAATTGAACTTAAATTCCTATATTTCTAACTATCCCATGTTTCTAACTTATTAAATTCATTAATATTTTAAAATTATAAATCATTAATATTGTATATAATGATTAAAATACTTAAATATAGAATATAAAATAAATTTGAAATTGATAATTTTATTATTTTGAAATTATAAATCTTATTAATAAACAATGAAATTAAACTTATATATAAAAATTTTAATCCTATTTTATATTTCTTTTCACAGCTTATATAAAATTATGGTTTTGAACTAATTTCAATTATAGTAAAATTAAGATTAAAACTTCAAGCTATAATCTTATTCCCGCGATCGATATATACTGATTATATTTGAAGCGTCCATATTCATGGAATTTCGCTGCAAAGATCTTGTTGAAATTTGTATGTTTTCTCTTTACCAAATTAATATAATCTGGTTCTAAATTTATCAAACTAGTGTTACTTTGAAGGGGGGGGGGGGGGA